AGCTTGACTTATTCACTCCCCTCTTTTGCAAGCAGGGGCAACAAGCGTGTCCCCCATTGACAAGGAGGCCTATTCAGACTGCAGGTGCGAAGTGGGCCAGCGCGCCTGGCCACATTATGTCAAGGTTGTTGGAGATTAGTGTTCGGCCTTAATAACTAAAGCGCTTGATTTACATTGGAAAAAAGCCCCTTCAGCCGTGAAAACAAAATCGTTGAACGCGTGATCATTGCGAGGGCAGCTGATATCCTAATACTTGCATTGTTCTCAGTAGGGCCCAGGAGCATCTTGGCCTCCTTCGGAAGCAAGCGCTAGGCCTGAGTTGCTGGCCCTGGATCAGGTCACCAGTCAGAGCTCCTGTCTGGGCAGGCCGGGAGAAAAGGCCTATGTGGCGTTTCGCCGGGGTCAGAGGAAGGCAGAGAGAGTCCATGTGTGGGCTCTGGACTTTGGCGAAATTGAGTACAAACTGGAGCCTCTCATGCAAATTAGGACCTAAATAGTCTAGAGTCCTAAAAGGCTGAGAAGGCTCCAGCTTCACTGTCGGGGTTGGGGGAGGGGGGTTACTAAACAGCGTTTCTTGAAGTGCTGTAGCAATAACGTTTCTATTCACAGGTGAAGATCGCTCCGTGATTACTGGGGCAGAAGGACCCAGGCACACCTACTGAGCGAGTAGAGCTGCCCCCAAGAAGGCTATGAAGTGTTTGTGCAAGAAAAACCTAATGCAGAAAGCCTGCAGCTGCAGCCTGGGCTTCTATAACTTCTAGATCTGTTAACCCCAGAATGGAGGAGCAGGCCACCTTGGCCTTGGCATTGGGGCCCAGTGTGATTATTTCCAGGAAGAGTCCATTACCCCACATATTCTCTGTGCTTCCCACATACACTCCTCCCCCATCCATGAGAAGGGATCCAGAGAACAAGAGACCTGTAGTAAGGACCTAAGAGCAGGCATTTCAATCTAGACATATATCCATTCTAACTGCCTATCTTTTGTGGAAGTCAAGCTACTTCTGGCAATTTCCATAAGATCTGTCTGTGGAGACAAGGTGAGAACGCTGTTAACTATTGTCTGGCCCTGAAAAGGTCGTAAGTCAGAACCTCAGTGGCTGACCTGTCAGTGGAAGGTATAAAGGCTTTATTCATGTAGTCGCTGCAATGTTCTCAGCTCTCACAAAAGTGTTTTTATGATTCCATTTTTCTTACCTCTTTTCTTAATTAAAAAGCCGAACCATTAGAACAGCACCTGCATCATGTCCTGACAGTGCCTGCATACTAATCCTGGAGCCTTTACAAGCAGTAATTATAACATAAAATCAGAGGTTGAATAAAACAGAAGGATTGTGCTCCCAAAGCCCCGCTAATCCCCTTTTAAAAGGGTCTGGTGAAATAATTCAGAACAGTTTCCGGAAGTTGGATTACCACTCCTTTTAAACAAAAAACAAAAAACTTTTTACAATGAAATGATATTTCACACTTAAAGCAGGCTGATTTTCCACAACAGTATTTTAGTTGAAAGAAAGTTGGCAGGCTTTTGGGGCAATGGGAGACATTTTACTACTTTTTTTTTCTCACTAGAAAGAGCAGCAGAAAATGTAGGGGAGTTTTTACAATATATTTGAAACATATTTGTCAGGTGAAAGTGACCACAGTGTGAGCAACAATTGTTTAAATTCATCAGGGAACTATAGTTTTTATATCAGAGGAAATAAATAAAAGAGGAAGGTGTACTTTTATGGCTTACAAATATATATATATTTTTCAGGCAAAACATCATTTATCAAAGTTCTGATAGTATTTTTAACTTAATACATTTATGAGTACAAAAGCTCTATTAGACCCTGAGTAAAACCCTTGAAAAGGACAAACAAGGGACCTTACATAGACTAACTGGGGAGTTCACTGGCCAGCCAGTTACTCAGAAACATTGCAGAAACCCACTTACCCTTCTGATATGTTACTACAGACATCTTCTGATGATGTTGTAATGGATTAGCTTTCCCTCTGCTCTGTCATTATTCTACAACAGTAGCAAATTCATGAAGTCACCAAAATATGCTGTTTTCTTCCCACAGACATTTCCCAAGGCTGTCAATCCATTGTAAGGTCAGAGCCATCCATGTATAGCCATGCTCATTTTATTTTGAGTTGATCTATATTGTCCCTTATATTTTGGTTCTTGTAAATGATAAATAAATAGGTGGTACATGTTTCAAGATCTACTGCTGGACATGTTTATATTAAATTAACTTGCACCGTGAGGTATTTTCTGTTTTCATTTTCAGAGAACTTCTTTGAATATTTGGAAAACCAATAGATGGGCAAAACCATAGGTACCCTTTCCTCACACTGTCTGGTAAATTTCTCTTTTCTTGAGTGACTTTGGGGCTGGAACTCAGTAGCTTTCTGAGAACATTCTCATTCATTCTTTGCACTGGTAATATTTGGGTGCAAAGGCCAGGCTATCCGGATGGCATGATAAGAAGCCAATGACAAGCAGAGAATAGTGGTTTACATCTGGCTATTGAGTGACTAGGATGTTACTCATTTTTCCTGCAATGAAGATTTAATAAAATGAAACCATGGTTTAATAAAAGGTGCTCATGCCTTGCTGGAAAGAATGTATTTGTGTCTGACTTTTGTCTCCAACTCACCTGTCCTCAGCTGGCCCTCACTTCCCAATTGCATTTTCTCTGCCCTTCACGAAGTCTTGAGGAGCCCTCATGGGATGCACAGTAGCCTGCAGAGACTTACAATTTAAAAGCTCAACTCCTGGGCTCACAGGGCTATGGAGTTCAGTACAATGCCAAAGTCTTAACAAGTCATAAGAGTGACATTAACGCTATCAGATTCTTCAGGTTTAGTCTATACTAAAAGAAATTCTCACTCATTTTTCTGAGGGTTTTAAAAGACTGTGTTTCTGCTTCAGTGCTGGGCTATATCAGGATCGAAAATTCTCAGAAAAGCAAAATTATAGTAGCCACTGAATTCTAAGCAATCCTTAGTGATGCCTAAGTATGCCACAAGGTTCCATGAGACTTTGGACCTTTAAGGCTTCCACAAGTAGAAAAACCCCCCAATAACTATCTAAGTCCCTAAAGAACTATGAGATACTTCTGGAAAATTGAGTAAAAAAGCAACAATTATAGAATAACTTACATGTATCTCTAAATGTTTCAGGCACTACCTTTTTTTAAACACTCAAGCTTCTTAAATGTGATACAGTTTTTATTAAAGACTACTGAAAATGTTGGTCTGATTGTTTTTGAAGATACAAGAATCAAGTCAGAGTGAATTTGTATCATTTACAAGGATACAGGACTAATAAGTGATAGACTGTGTTCTTCCCTTTTGATGTCACTATGCTGCCAGCAGAATTTGGGCCTGGTGCTCTCCTGTGGAATAATGAGAAGGAAACCTAAGATGGTAGGGAGATGGGCATCATAAGCAGACTGTTTCCCTAAGATACCTTAGTCATTTGTCACTAGAGAGTAGATAACTGTCCTAGAAGATAAAGTGATTCTAGGGAGAGGCTTGGAGACCAGAGGGTGTGAACCTTAGACCGAGGTTGTACCATTCTACTCTTCATGAAAAATAAGAAAGAAATGATAGATGGATGGATGGATAGATAGATAGGTAGATAGATAGACAGACAGACAGACAGACAGACAGACTTAACAAAGCAAGAAGGAAGTGATAATTTACCCAATGGCCTGGAGCAGAGTTCCTCTGTGCATTTGCCCCTACCCTCCCTTCTTTTGTTGGGACTAGGAGGTTTCAAAGGCAGAACTTTTCTTTTCAAAAAACCTACTGGAATATGTCAAAGACAGCCACCCTCCAAACACCCTCCTTTTCTTCCACTCTGTGAAGTGACTGTGGTCCAGAAATACCTTATCAGCTAGTCCCTAACCTGCATGGGTAATGGAGGTATGGATTAGATGGACTTTAGGATGCCTCTCTAGTCCTGACTAGTCAATTCTAGAGGCTGGGAGGACTCCAGGCTATCAGCAGGCAACAGAGTTCAGACCTGGGAGAGGCTTGTGTCTGTCCTCTTTCTTTTGATTCTGGAACCTTTCTCTCTGGGAATGCAGTCCTTTAGCTATAAGCTAGTTGTTCAAGTTATTAGCTAAGGAGACCTACCATTCTCAACCCAGTATCTATCATTCTCCCACTCCATACAATTGTTCATTCCAGCCAGGATTACTACACCCAGCTTCTCAGCCATTAGAAAGAAGCCAGGCACATATCTCCAAAATGTGACATTTGTGCAGAGTTTGGGGGTCTGGAAAGGGTATTGGATTCTATAAGCAGAGACCATGGTGGAAGCAAGGTATTGATCTTGTGATTAAGATGATTCTGACACATTTGGGAAAAGTTTTCCAGTGGCAAACCAGATAAAGACACATGGAGTATGCTAACACTTACCTTTTAGCCTTAAGATTGAGAGCCTTCACAGATACTTCAGGGGACCTCTGCCCATCAGGAATTATAGCAAGATCCCTTCAGACAGCTCTGCCTAAGGCATATTATCAGTTTAGGCAGGTTTGGAGCCAATTCACTCTCCTTTTTAAGTTTGTTCCCTCCTTATTAGTTCCTGGACCTTTTGCTAGGAATCAGAGGTGGTTCATGAGAGTGGTAACAGTTATAGGAAGGCATCCTTACCAAACAGACCACTGAGCATCCATTTATCTTTTCTCTTCTGAAATGTAAATCAGTTGCTGCCATCGGTATCATTGAGGTGAGATTGTGGGCAGAGAGGTCTCTCTTCAATCATTGTTTTTTCAGGTCCCCTATTTTGCTATCTCAAGTGACTACACCCAAAGATAGTCCTGCTTAACCATGTAGAAAGATAGAGAGAAGAGTACAGTCTATAGGAGAGCCCCCAAAACTCTCCTAGGATGATGAAGCAATAACTGGACACTGGAATTCCAAGAAGAAAGGAAAACCCCAAGTCATTTATTCCCAAATAACATAGCATAAAGAAGGCACAAGTACACAAAATCTTTTGAAGAGAAAAACTTATTTTATTTAATTTACATGTACATGTTTTCTAGAAGACTATACCTCAGCTTTGAATTTTGTCTTTATTTAACAATCACTGTCAAATACACACAACATCTTTTTCCTTTCAGGTTAGTTTATAGCTTAGCTGCTGTTAAGTGGAGAGTTTTTTTTTTAATCACAGTGTGGATAAACAAGGTACCAATAATCTAAGGGTTGACTCAGACTCATGTGTATGTTAGGTATGATTATAAAAGATTTGCCTGACTGTATAATTCACATTCATTGCAATCATTATATTCTCCCATAAATTAGCAATACAAACAGACATATGGAGAGTCAAGTAAACAAACAACATCAATATAAGAGACATTTTGCAGCAACTATAGCTGATTACATGAGTTACAACTTGGGGAAAGTTCTTCACAAATCATTTAGTAAGCACAAAGGCTAGGATGATGGGCACGACCTTGTTTATTTAAATCACCTTTAGAACTACAGTAGGAGGTTGAAAAGACCTGAACAGGGGGAAAGTTTCTTTTCTAGGCACAATATAAAATGGAGAACTGCACATAGGGGAGGGGGTTGGCATATGCATGCACTTTTTGGTCGCTATCTTGTAAACCAAACCTTCTGAACTCCAAGATAATAATAATAATAATAAAGAAAATGTTTCTCTTGCTTACATTACCATCCTTTAGACAAATGACAGAAAGTGTGTGCTGATTGCTGCATTGGTGAGGAAACACGACCACGGATCTATTTATAGCAGAAGTTTCTTTGAAAAGGGGAAAACTTAGACATCACATGTTTGTAGGCTTAAGTTCCAAGAATTCCAGGTAGAATTTTTTGGAGCCCAAGTGATCTCCAAGAGAATCCATCCAGCTAGTTACCCTGGACTGATGGGATGCAGTCCAGGACAGAAAACACAAACACAGAAGCACAGACTTGGGACACTTATCCTCTGCCTCTGCCATCCTTGCATTACCTAATCTACCAGTTTTGGTGTAATTGGCCTTCCAACATCTCCATACTTCACCAGGCCTGAAACTACACAGGACTTTTGCTTGTTGTTGTTGTTGTTGTTGTTTTCTCTCTCTGTCTCTCTTGGAAAAACGTATTCCTAAAGTTATCTACTGGTGGAGTATAGGGATTTTTTTCTTTTACAAAATTTGATTTTATCTCTTTAGCAATGGTTTGAAACCAATGGGGCAAAGTGAGTTTGACAGAGAGGAGAACAAATCGCTGACAAAGAACCTTTTACATTTCATCAGCGTTGTTAGGACGACAAGCAGGAATGTCTCAGATAATAACTCCCACTTCAAAGATTTCTCAGCTCAATAGAAGGCAGACCATCCTTTTTATTCAACCACAAGGACGGGCACTAAAGAAGACTCTACTGTTTGATTTTTTTCCACCGTGTTTATTTTTCCCCTATTCACTAGGGTACTTGGATAAAATAAACAACAAGACAATTAAGGGAACATGGACTTCTAACTTTGCTGCCATCTTTCCCATCCACTTGGCCTTGGGCTCTTCAGTTTGTGCCCAAAGCCAGTCGAAACCTAAGGCTACCGCACAGTGGCACATCAGAGGGAAAGTTTAAGGGGCTGCAAGACTTCTGGGGTGAAGAAGCAGTGGAACACCTCTGGGGAACACAGCAGAACTAACTTTCCCTGAAGTGCAGTTAACAGCTCCTGTACTTTCCCAGGTTCACCTTCGTCTTAACTCCCCATTCCGCACTGAGCTGACAACTGAGCTGAGGTGCTCCTTTGGAAAGCTTCTCAGGATGCCCTAGTCATTTCCTCTGACTCTGGGGGCCTATGGGCGTTGTCAAGATGCTCGGAGTCCAGCTCCTCCTCCCTTTCTTGAAAGAATCCCGGGTAGCAAAGGCCCCTACATCAGGGTGCAGGATGAACCCCTAAACACTGGCAAGACAGGTCCTGGGAGGAAGTGTATACTGGAGAGCACAGTGACAGTATTAAATGGCGTGAAAGCAAAGGTCAGCGCAAATGTATCTTAATAGAGTGTCCGCAGTGAAGTGTGCCGCCTTTGAAGCGGCCGCTCCCCGCGCGCATTTCCATGGCGAGCCTAACGCAGCGTGCTGATGCACCGTCAAACTCACACTTTCAACCCCAAAACCCGACTCTTTGAACAACCCGAGCTTGATTGGACCTTTCTCCTTTTCTTTTCCCCCTTACAAACCATTTCCTCGCCTTTAGAAACTCGCCATCAAACCCAAATACGCCCTCTGATCACCGCAGAAAGCAGAAACAAAGAGGGCTGAGCGGCGATTCAAGCGGCCCTTTTCTTCCCTCGCATTATTATCCATTTTTATTATGATCGGGAACAAGTGCCCATTCGCGTGGGTTTTGTTTACCGGAAATTAAATGAAAATGATTTAGTCCGCGTCAAACAAAAATATATACTTGTATACACAAGAAAAAAGGCCTGTTAGACGTAAATATTATGTCCTTAATGAAAAGCCTGGATGGGCTCCAGGCCCGGCCTTTCAGGATTTCAGTGAGACTTGCCCATTGCCATAGAAATCCTAACTTACCATGAAGATGCACCGTGGCGAAGAAACACTGCTTTGTGAGAGAGCCCTTTGATGTCGCAGGCGCAAGATGCGGGCGCTCAGCTGCGCAGGGCAAGATTACCTTGCAAGCAACATCTGTAACAAGCAAATGAAAAATTAAAGGCGATTAGTGATCGGCCAAATATTTTTATTTCATTTCGTTATTTTGAACTGGGGTAGAAGGCAAAACGAAGTGTTTTGAAACAGAAGAGAAAGACAAGAGTCCTGTTCGAGGAGGGGCAGCTTGAAAATATTAGCAGAGGCGTCAAGTCCCACAAATGTTCTGTGTACCTTGGCAGCAAGGTTAGTGCTTGCCCATAGGAACAAGTTCTTTGCTTCTAACTGTCCCGGGCTGCGTTTGGGCAAAGCTGTGACTCAACAACAGGTTTGCTAGAGATGGACTTTTAAGATTTTGGGTTTTATTGGTGGGTAACCACCCCCTTCCTGCCAAGGTGGTTACCTTATTGGATAGAAGTTGTGGGGTCTGTGGGACCAGCGTGAGAATTTTCTACTGGATTCTGAGAAGGAAGGGATAAAAGACAATGCAGGCGGATTCTCGTGATAAGAATTGTTTGTCCAGCTTTTATTGTATCCAGTGTGCCTACTTTTGGTGGCACTGGGGACAATCCAAGAGCTTTAAGGGAAGTGGGCAAGTATCTACCACAGTTACACCCCAAGGCTCAGGACTCAGGTTGTAAAATCCTGAGTTCCTGGGCCTTCATTTTGGGTAGAAATACTTCCCCTCTTCCACATTTTTATTTCCGATTTGCAGAAACCTAGACAAGTCTGCCTGTACTTCCCCTCTCCCTTTTCGCCACCCTTCTCTTTCCTTGGTGGTTTTCTTTATTTACATCTCAGCTGGGATTTTGAGGCAGCTTCTCCTTCCCTACAGAGGGTGGCAGACTAGAAGCAAGGCCCTGTGTTTCTCCCCCTTGACAACTGCAGAGTCCTTACTCTCTACCTTCATCAATATCTGATTCCCCCCCCGAGAACTTCATAACCAGCACATCAAATACTTTCAACTCTTCAGACACTCTGGTGTTTGCTGCATAATAATGTCGCTGCACTTTATTTCTCACATGCCCACAAACTTTTTAAATAAATTTCTGACAAATGCTACTAGAGAATTGAGGCTTTTCTTTAAGGTACATAAATCCCTGGCTGTGGAGACCTTGATTCAATGGTGACAGCCTCCAGTTCCGTATCCCAAGTAGAGAACCTATGATGTTCTATAGCCGTGTCTAAACAGATGGGGGGTGGGAAAAGGAAGCCTGAAGCTTCACAACGCAGAGTTCTTGAAAGCCTTCTAGTGTTCCTTTGTCCCTGCTTCCCATTGTTTTGGACTCACTCCCCACTGCAAGTATAAAATGTAAATTGAGTTTGAGGTTTGACAGAATAGACTTATCTATGTGTTCTGATAGGCATTGGGATTGGAGGTATGTGACATCCCAAGAAAAGGGGAGAACATCCTCTTACTCATCTCCCTTATAGAAGTGGCTGGAAAATTCGGGACTTCTGTGTTTCTTTATTGTTGTTATTTGATTATTTTGTTGTTGTTATTGTTGTTTGAGATTAGTTGAGGAACTGGAGAGGATATGGAGGCAAAGGAAAAGACAAATGGGCTGAAAGAAAATGGTTGCGGAATTCTGTCTGCCACCTCCTGGGCTCTGAACTACTCAGGTTGGGATTGATGGGCAAGAGGAGGGAATGAAAAAGAGTCTGTAACTGGGTGCTGGGGAGACAGTGGTCCAGGCCTCAAGGAAAATATTTTCCACCCTTCCACACCCACTGGGAAAATTTATGGCTTTACTTTTTGCCACCCACAGTTGCCAGAACTGTGAATAAATTCAAACAAGTTTTGCTGCTGCTGCTGCTGCTGTTGTTGTTGTTATCTGTCTCTTTATCCTGGACATGGGTTTCATGGGCAAAGGAGAATGCAGAATGTAACTATAGAATGAGCACATTTATGTTTTTGTATACAGATCTAGTATCAGCATACTCAATGGCCTCCAGTAACTTTTGATAGTGGCCTATCTGCCTGCCTGCCTTTCTACCCTCCCTCCCTTCGTTCCTTGCCTACTTCTTGGAGCCTCAGTGGCCAGGCCTAGACTCGAAGAGGACACAAGCCCGAGCTGGGGAGCAGCCCTGATATTGGAGGCGGTGGTAGCTGTGGCAGGGCCCAGAGGTGGCATTAGGCTGGGGTGGGGGCGCTACAGAGTCAGCCTCCACTGAGCCAGGAGCCCGAACACACGTACCATTCATTCATGTCTGTGCCACGCACCGCCACCACTGCTGTGCAGGCTACCGGGGGCTCGCGGCTGCTTTCTAACGTGGGAGACGTGAGGGCAGACGGTATTGCTGAGTCGTAGCCAGAGCTGGGTGGCGGCGAGCGACCATGAACTTTCATGTGCTTCCGCAGAGAGCTGGGGTGTGTGTAGCACTTGTCACACCCGCGCACCTTGCACATATAAGGCTTGTCGCTTGTGTGTACGTGTGAATGCTTCTTGCGGTCGCTGCTGTTGGCGAAACGCCGCTCACAGCCCTCGAACTCACATCTGAAGGGTTTCTCTCCTGGGGGAGGTAACGCAGAGACGTTAGTAGGGAGCGGGCTGCTTCACAGTCTCCGGATTGTACCCCTCCTATTGCTCTTTTGTTTTCAGCAAAAGAGCCACAAAAGATTTTTCAGAAATTACTTTCCTCTATTCTTTAGGTCTGGCACCCCTCCCCCACCCAATGAGGAGACGAAGCCCACTCCCACAGACTACCACCCCTCCCCCTCTTCATTCCTGTGCCTAGGGGTGGGGATAGGGGAGCTTCGGAGGAGGAGCGACAATGACTCCATCATAGTCATTTCCATTCTAGAGAACCCTGGTCCACGCACGTTGTTTTCCTCCAACTTTTATCTGTGTGGAGACAGAAGCACCCTTGCCCAAAGAATCGAGTTGATTGAGGAGTTCACATTTGCTGGATTTGAAGTTACTGCCCAGGCCATCATCTGTCTCTGCCCTAGAGAGCCTTGCCCAGCAAATCCGCTGGACACATACTCCGCCCTGGTCCGAAGTGTTCTCTAAAGTAGGTTTTGTTCAAACGCCAAGGCAATGAGAGGATTTGAAAGGATGAGCGGTGGGTGCACATGCGTGTGCGTAGTGTGGGAAACATGGTGAGCAATGATCCACCCGAAGGCTGTTTTCCAGGAAATAGAACCCCCTTCCCTTTGCACTGCAGCCACTGAAGGCAAACATGCTGCAACGTTCTTCGAGTCTTGCCTAAACTGTTCGAAATCTCTCAAGATGTTTGTCGATTATAACATTTTATTATCCGGATCCATTAGTATCTCAGAGACCTTGTGGAGTATAGCAGGCCCCTTTCAGTCCAAACTGACAATTCCAGGTCTATGATCCTCCCCAGACAATTCCCCGCCCGCCTGTTCCACCTCGCAGGCCAGAGAGCCCAGAGGCCTGTATGGGAAAGTAGACTCAGGTCAAAGGAGGTCTTAAGTCTGTTGAAATCACCGCCCTTGAGTGAGGTAAGCTTCGGGTGAAAGCCTGCTACCAGTAAACCAGGTCCGGTTCCTCTGACCACTGAATGTATGGCTGGTCTAGGTAGAACTGCAGGAAAGGAAGAAAACGAACAAAGCTTCGGGGAATATTGATTGGGCCAAACCTCATTCCGGTATTTCCCCGCTGCCTGAATTTGCTGATCTGTGCAAGAGGCACCCCCCACGCGCCCGTGACGCCGCCAAGAACCCAGAATTTCAAGTCTCTGCCTCCACTGATACTGTTTCGGAAATGAATGGGGGGCTGTCTGGGCTCTAAGCAGCTGAACATCCTGGGGGTGATCAGGGGTGCAGGAACCCCTCTAGCAACTGATTCGAGAGCAAGATGCCCTTCTGTTGGCTTTGTGGTCTCTTCTCCCGCAGTTTATAGGAAAGACTTTCTGATAACACCAACAAAGACCCCATTCTGCCGCGGCGCTGAAGCTCAGGTGGAGACCGTTTTACAGGAAACCTGCCTTTGGCTCGGGGACAGCCGATAGCGCTCATCCTTGCTGGAGTACACTAGGGTCCTCTGGAAGATGCTGCCCGCTGCCATTGCACAGGACAAGGCACAGTCTTACTTTGAAAAAGTAGAGGAGATGTATAATGAACAAATCAGTGCCCCCGTTTGTCCCCGGGTTTCTCTCCTCTTACTCCATCAGCGTTTGCAAATCCCAAACTTTCCTCCTTCCCTCCCCATTCTTCTTCGTAAAATAACTTACAAAAGAAAAATTTATTTGAAGCCTACAAAAGAGAATAAGACTTTCCGGGTGTGTGTGGCCAAGGGGTAGGATCTGATGTTCGAAATGGAGGCTAGAATTCCCTCACCGGGGTGGGGTGGGGGAGAAAGAAAAAGAAGAAAAAAGATATATCCAGCTACACACATATCCCCTCCCAGCGTCTCGTCACGTAAAATAGAAGAGTATTTCTCTCCAGACGAGAACCAGAAGAAAAAAAAGCAGGTACTGAAAATGCCTCAGAACGGGGGAGTGAGCACGGCCCTGGGAGGCCAGGTGCAGCCGGGCCCTAGCGTTCCCCAGCTGCAGGAGGCGCCCTGGTCTCCGCGCTCGACAGCCCTCCCACCCCCGCCGCCCCGCCGCCCCGCCACCCCGCGCCCTTCCCCTCCCCCAAGTCCCTGCGCGACGCCCTGGGTGGGAGGGTGGACCCCGCGGCGCCGTGCTAGGCCTGCCTCCAGCCGGGCCACCTGAGTCCTGGCTGTGCGGGTCGCCTAGGCCGCCATGCTCCCGGCCCCGTTTGGGGCCCTGGCCCTGGGCCCCCCGTCCTTGGCCCGGGCCCCAGAGCGCCCAAGGCCTCCTTCCGCGCGGGCGCAAAGTTCGCCGGCCTACAGGACGCCCGACCAGCGCCATTTTCTCGCACTTGTGGCTGGGTCTGTTTTCGCGGTGACTCCGCCCCAGAGCGGTCCGGGTACTGGCCTCTGTCCCCCCCCGAGGGCTGACTGACTGCGGGGAAAGGTGGGGAGAGCCCAGGGCAGGGGTTCCGGGAGGCGCGCCAGTTGGGGAGGTTGGCACGGTGCGCGCTCCTGGCCCGCGCCTCCCTCGCCGCCGCACCATTGTTCCCGGGTCTCTGTCACAGCCACAGACTGAAACCTTTCTTCACCCGCCGCCTCCAGAGCCAGGCCTGGGAGTCACATTCCGGACAATCTCAGCTAAGAAATCTGCTCCTGATCGCCGCTTCCGCGACTCGATGGAAATGAAACGCCATTAATATTTGAAAAGGCAATTATTTTCCTGTTGAATCGAAAACTGTCTTCATGAATAATTTGTAGAGAGTTCTATTGCCATTTGAGAAACATTTTGTTGCTGCTTTGCCTCCTCCTTTTCTTCCCATTGCTTAGGAGATTTGAGGGAGACCCCGGAACAGGGGTGGATCTGTAGGGTTTTTGTTTTGTTTTCCCTTTTTTTTAAGCCCAAGCTGTAATGAATCAGGTCTGAGACCGAAAAGAACGCACAGAATTCTGCCTTGAGTCCTTACAAACCCAAGAGCCAGCCAGGCACACTTGTGCTTCTCTGGTGTAGGTCGGTTGCGCTAAGAATTTAACCATTTTCTGCTTCACAGACTTTAAACAGTGGGCCGGCAAAGAGCAGTATAAGTTTGTTTGCTTCAAAATCCCTGTCATTAAAGATGAGTTCTTTCTCCAGCCCCGGAGTGTGCATCCACCTTCCAGGTGCTGGCAAGCAGCCCCTGGAGCAGCGAGTCTCGGGGTTGGAATTATGGTTTTTAGTCATCCCTCTGTCCCTGGGAACATAACTCGGGGAGAGGGAGAGAGAGAGAGGAGCAGATGAGTGAGAGAGATTCAGAGCGTGCTCTAGAAAACCGCACAAGATGTTTGCAGACATGCTGGGGGGGGGGATAAAGAACAGATCCAAACTGGACTTTGGTCTTGCCTCAGCCTATGGCAGTGTTCTTTCTAACCCTAAACCTCATGGAGACGGCAGTTTGTAGCAAGCTTCTTCCCGGACGCTGCAGCCATCGGGGACTCTTGACTCTTAAAAAGGTGGCTGTTCTAAAGGGAACTGTAGAAAGGAAAGATACTGCCCGGAGAGCTGGAGTACCAAGCTGGAATTCTTCCGATCTCTCCGCATCATTCTTCCCTTTTCCCGCCTCCAAGATGGGGGAGGGGAGAAGACGCTGACTTCTTAAACTTCAAGGGGTGGGGGGAGAAAGGAGAGTCAAAGGGTGGCTGCTAAACTAATTAATGTAACTTCACAGGCTGTTCGGAAAGTGTGAAAACTTTCTTCTTGCAATTGTATTAATTAGATGCTTCTGGCCAGAAGAGTTCAACTCCCAGCCTCCTTCACTGAGCTCCTTTTCTTTCTGTTAACTAGAGCTAACAGATGTGGTTGACACATGTCCCTATTTCACTTAACAGCTCCTTAAATGACATTTAAGGCAGTGGGTCCCCGTTGGGTCTCTAATAAAATAAGAATGAGGGGTACCAAAAATGTCCCTTCTTTGGAGCCAGCAATACAAAAGCTGGTCAAAAGTAGGCCCCCAAGGCTCCTGAATCCTAAAGGAGGTATTAAGGGTCAGATGACCCCTCAGTTCAGGTGACGGTGAAGCTAAATGGGGAAGAGTTTTTCAAAGTGATCTGTAAATGTGAGACAATAATTCCCATTTCCGTTAAGGTTTTGGGGGAGGCCATGCTGGTTTTTTTTAAAGCCTTAAAACCAAGCTCTAGGAACGAGGGATATACCTCGTACCCAGGGTCCAATCTTCAGATCCTAAATCAAATCAAACCTATAAGGTAGAAGCGCCCGTTTACCAACAGGGATCACAGAACTCTGGAATCTCTCTTCCCACACAGCCTCCGGAAAAGGGTGAGTCTACAGGCAGAAGCTGTTAATTACCGTTTTATAAGTCTGGCTCATGGAAACAATACCAAAAATTGCCTCCCTCCTCCCCTCGGCTGGAACTAAAGGAAATTCAGACCCGAAGGGCCTGCGTCCCATGGGGTCGCACGAGACAGACAGCACTGAGTACTGACCTGTATGTGTTCGTTTGTGTATTTTGAGATTTTCTGATCTAGCAAAGACTTTCCCACACCCTGGGAAAGGACAAGGGAAGGGCTTCTCGCCCGTATGCACGCGGATGTGATTTACAAGTTTGTATTTGGCTTTGAAGGGCTTGCCCTGCCGCGGACACTCCTCCCAGAAGCAAATGTGGTTAGCCTGCTCTGGGCCACCGACGTGCTCCACGGTGACGTGCGTGACCAGCTCATGCATGGTGCTGAAAGTTTTGGAGCAGGGGCGCGGGGACACTGGGCCATCATCGCCTAGCCACTTGCAAATGAGCTCCTGTTTGATGGGCTGGCGCATATAGCGGAAAAAGGCTCCTGGGCCATGGGATGCGGCGAGGTTCACGGTCAGGTTCATGCCGCCATAGCCGTGCAGGGCTGTGGCTGTTGCCAAAGTGTCGCTGCGGTCCGTAGACCCCGGTGCAAAGGGTTCCGACCTCGCATACATGTCTCCAGGGAGCCCCAGACGCAGGAGTCCGTTCAAAGTACGGCTGTGGGAGGCCTGCGGAGGCTGCTCATGAAGGCCCGGAAATACCGAGGGGTTCGAAGCGGCGGCGAGCTGGGGCCCATGGTGTCCACAGCTGCTACCTGTTGTCGAGACAAATAGCGTGTATGAGAACCGATGGAGTGGGTTTCGCACTTTCCCCGGATCCCGGGGACAAGTCCTGCCCAGCCGCATCTAGGTTTCTGGCGTTGGTGCTGGGATCTTGAGCAAGTCGGTGCCAGCAGTGAACCTGTGGAGGACCAAGCAAAGCCAAAAAGCCTCCTCCTTCGTCCGGCTAGGCTGCAGTTCTGCTGAGTCCCCTGCCGCGCCATGAGCTGGAGAGGGGTAGTGATAATGGGGTAGGTGGGAGAGGCAACAGGACTGAGTCTGTGGGTGCCTGGGGGCACGGCCTCTGCTGCAGAGGTGTAAGACCCATATCTCAAGATTACTTTGTCCACCAACACCAAGGGGTGCTCCCGGGCCAGAGATGGAGGTGATAGGAGGGGTCATTTCGGAGGTGGTAAAGTTGGAAGTGGTAGTGATTTTGAAGCATCCTAGCCGTATATATTAATTTCAGAGTCCCACTGAGCCTGGAAAGGACCTCCTGCTGAACCTCGGCCCGGCAGCCGCCGGTGCTACTACAATCTGGCAGTGCAGAGAAAGGACAACCGAAAAAAAAAAAAACTTATGCAAAGTGGTGGGGATTTTTTTGTTTGTTTGTTTTATTTTTTCTCTGAGTTTTGGGTGTGCACTCCCCCCTCTCTTTCTGTGTCTTTAATGTCTGTGTGAAACCCGGGGCACTACAGAGGGGCAGCAGGGCGCTTAAGGAAATGAATAGATTCAGGCCACGGCCCCGGGCCACCGTGAGAACAATCGCCTATGTTGCCCATTGGCCAGTGGCCTGGCCCGACGTCAGTGATGACAGACCAGACTCTGTCTCTCTCTCTCTCTCTCTCTCTCTCTCTCTCTCTCTCTCTCTCTCTCTCTCTCTCTCCTCTCTCTCTCTCTCTCTGTTCTTCCCTTCCTCCTTCCCTCTCTTTCTCTCTCCTCTCCTCTCCTCTCTTCTCCTGTCCCTCCCTCCTCTCCCTCCCCCCAACCCCAATAACATTTCAGCCTTCTACTGCTCATGCGCTCTGATCCAGGCGGGAATTCTTTACTCTTTCCGTACACCTAACACCCCATCCCCATCCCTTCTATAAAGCTGAGCTACCAGGCTCCTGAAATTGAGCAGGGCTGGGTTTCGCATCTATCCATGACGACTCCTGGAAGGAGTTGAGCATAGTCTTAGGCATTTTAATATCCAAACTCCTCAAGGAGCATAGAAAGTTTGTCTTGCGTGCAAAGGACTCAAGGAAGGCAGGCTGCAGACTATCTGGAGCAGAGAAGCTCCTAGAGTAGCGAACCCACTTTATTCTCCTCCGTTCTGCCCCTTGTCTTTCTCTTCTTCCTTCTTATCATTTCCCCTACACCTAGCCCACATACATCCCCATCACACTTGCCCTTTCTGTTTGGCTTCTTTATTCCCCCTCTTCTTCCCCTCCTCCTCTCTCGCGCTCTAGCTCCAGCTCTTGCTCTCTCCCCTCTGTGATGGCGCTCTTGGAAGTAGAAACCCAAAACTCCCAGCCTGACTAGAGAGACTGAACCAGAGGAGATTATGAAGAGAGGAGGGGAAGTCTTTTTTCAAACTCACTTCAGGCCTCCCTGAAAGGACTTTTCTTTCTTCATTTCTTTCTTTTTTTTGTCACAGCTCATATTAATTTATCTGAGGGTATTCTGGCAAAAAGAAAGCAATCGAGAGAGAGAGAGAGAGAGAGAGAGAGAGAGAGAGAGAGAGAGAGAGAGAGAGAGAGAGAGGCTGTGGGCACACAAATGGAGGAGCAGGTCTTTCCTCTGGAGGCTATGGTAAAGGGACTAATCTGAGGCTCCTGTATTCTATGCAGTGATGACAGATGAAGATTCAATGAATGGAAACTATGATTACTTCCATGATCTGTGGCAACTTGTTGCCAAAGCTTTAACCTTAGTCCTTGCTATCTTTAGGAGTCTACAGACAGGATACCATAGTTGACTACATCCATGACCTTCAGTCTAGAATTGCCACCACAGTTGCCTGAGGAAGATGAAGATTTCAGTTCTGGCTCAGGAATGACTGCTCCTTGTCTGCCCTAGGATCTGCTGCTTTCTGAGCCTAAATGGGCTGTTCCTCATGGCCAAAGATGCCACTGGACTTTCTTGGACCTTCCTGAGGGACACAGAAAGTCTAGTTTGTTTGTTGTTTTTTAAAGAGAATTCTAAATGTTGAAAAACAAAACAAAAACAAAAAACCTTTCTGCGAAGGGAGAAGTTTGAACAAATTACATGGAACACAATTTAGAACTGATGGGACTGCCCCCCTCCCTGAGGTATTACATCCCATGATTAGTAAATAAAGGATTTTGCTTGTTTGTTTTATTTTGTTTGTTTTCTTTTGTATTAGAGGCAAGATCTCAAGGAGGCCAGGATGGTCTAGAACTTAAATGGTTTTGAGCTTCTACTCCTTCTGCCACCAGTCTCTAGGAGCTGAGTCCATAGATATTCAGTAGCACAAATGAGTTAAAGTGGTGCTGATAAAGGAACCTAGGACTCCATGCATGCTAAACAAGTCCTCGGCCAACTGAGCCACAACCCTACTCCCTAAATAAGGGTTTAAAATTTTTAATAATTGACTTATTTTCTAAAGCTTGGTACATTCTTCATTCATCCCTGCTTGGGGCAAGGGATTTAGCAAGGGATTAACTCCCACAATAATTTCTCTAGCTTTGAATAGCCTGTATCTCTCTACTCTGCCTTAGGAAGGTCTTAGGCAATTACAAATAGATTCTGTGTGCACACTCACATGCACATACACACACACAGAAATACACACACAGACACACACAGACAGATACACACACAGACACACACACACACACACACACACACACACACACACACACACCCTGTAGGAAAGAGAGACATTTGACTTCTGTTCCCTAAACCAAGGCCATTTGTGGCAATTTTAAAACTAGACTCTGAGAATTCATCTTCTTTCCTGGCTTTCCCCCTCTCCCTATGCTTCATTTAGTTAGCCCTTTAATGAGAGGCACTTCTATCAGGACTCTTGGTTTGTTTTGCCTTCCCTTCATCTGTGGATAGTTGTCACCAAATTTCAGTGAATTTCAAGTCTGATCTCTGAGCAAAGTGAATAATGTATTGAGGTGAGTCTATGCTGAGCCTCCAAAGGGCTCAAAGCACAGCATACACACTGGAAGCACAACTGTGTTCCTTCTTGTCCACCTATGTCTGTCCATCAAACCTCAGAACTGAAATAGTAACCCAGAGTGCAAGAGCATAGGTACCATAGGCCAGGAAGTAAAATCCTCTTACCTAAACCTAGGTGATATACAATTAATTATTCAGGATGTGTCAAATTCACAATCCATTTTAATTTGTTAATTATTTTATTTGAACCAACTTGGATTCTTAATATGCATACTGTGATCCGATCCTCATTAGAAGTTTTGAATAACAATACAGCCTGAACAGGGGTTTTTAAAAAAGCATTTTCTGTTATTTTCAGAACCATTTGGAAGCCTGGTGAGCATGCTGAACTCCTAACAGTCATGTGTTTGCTTCTCATTTTCACAGGAGAAGAAAATGTTAACTTTCCATTAGCAGGCTGTAGCGAGAAAGATTTTTTAAAAATCCAAGTTTACAGACCTTCTGAATTGTAAGTATTGACCTGTGTATCGGAAGGCTAAAGAAACCCAGGGGTTTTATATACACATCATGTTAGTATACAGCCTGTCTGACTAACTTTGCCCTTGAAAAGGTATGAACATGTGTATGACTTTTTGTGCCAGAAGCAAAAGGGCAAACACATCTGATTCAGCCAAAATCACTGACAGTAACCTGGCCCCATGGAGCTCCTTCCCAGATGCAGCCTTCTCTTGAAGCACTAAAAACATCTGGACCCATCCTGGGTAGATGTTTCTTGAGTAGCCAGGGGTCAGGTGACCTGCAGGTCACAGAGGCTGCCTGATCCTTGCAAAGTTCTTGGAGCCATATGGTCCATACCTCGGTTGGCTAAACATAACAATGGGACCAGACATTCTTTTAAGGTCAATTTCCCCAGAGACAAAGATAGAGAGAAAAAAATATTTATTGTATCCATTTATGCTTACTGACATAGAACTCTGAGCAATTATATAAGGACCTTCAAGGTGTATTTCTGAAATAAACTCCAAAAAAGCCTCAAGCTGATCAGAAATGGCAAGTCATGGAATGCCAATGTCCAAGAGGTGAACCATAGTCTTTCCAGAAATCTTTTTGATGTCTCAGGATGTAGAAACCCCCAGTTTTGGAAACTGTCAATTGGTCAGAAGTGCTTATCTTCACTGAGGCTCAGTTTACTTTCCGGAGATTCCTGCTTGATTTGCATAGAAAAGGAGGTGGTTTTGGCAAATGCTGACCCTCCCCAAAAGCGCTAAAGCTTTCATGAGGGCTTATATAGAACACATTCTACCAGTGACCCTTTCATCCTCCAGACTCTGAAAATGAATGCCCAGAATCATAACTTGGGTATTTTTGTTCACAATACCCATGCATCAATGGCAAAACAAATGATTTCTAGTTTACTTTTAGAAGTAGGGCAGTTGGTCCATCTGTCGGGGCTCCTAACATCACTAGCTGAGATGTCTGACTTCTCTTCTTGGGCAGGTGGAAGGATGGAGATTAGACATCAAGCTGGTCTATCTTTCCATCTTGATACTTGAAACAATGCTATATTGTGATTAAGCTGAGGGTCCATGACTCAGAGCCAGGCCAAGCAGCCTCTGTCACCTGAATATTCTGCTGCTAAATCTGCAGTCACTTCTTTGGTCCTTTTTTTTTTCTGACCATGGTGCCACTCAGAATTAGGTGTGCATCTCTGAAGAGGCTATCCACTGACTTCAGGATTCCTCCAGTGGGAGGTATCTCAAGTCTTATGAAAAGAAATCATTTAAGCCCCAGAAGCCTGCCATATGTCCAATCCTAAATTATGCAAAGGAGATGAGGTCTGTCAGTTTTTTTTAAGAAGAGGAAATTTTTCCTAATTATGGAAATTTGGGCTTTAATCATCATTAATGGCACTGAGAGTATGGAAAAATATACTTAGATGTAATTTAATTTCCAAGCAACGCTTCTGCAAAGTGTCTTTTTAACAAAAGATTAAGAGAAATTGCTAAAAGAACTTCCAAGGTAGCATTAAGGAATCAAAACAACTGAATGTATATAATAATTATATCTCTTTTTACTGCTCTTATAAAATCATCCCAAATAGCAGAAGAGAGTCATTTCTTAACTTACTTAAACTTTTGTTAAGAAGCTTGCCTTGCATACCAATAAGGGAACATCTTTGGAGAAAACATGTAGTTGTATAGTTGAAATGAGAAAAATTAGATGCCTGGAAGGGGGTAAAAGCCAACCTTAAATCCTATGCTTATTCTAAATGGAATATGAAATTAAATTCTTCACAATGAAGGTATTTCTGACAGAGTGGCTGTCAGTCATTCTTGGTTCAGACACCACATTGTGGGAACATAGTCACTGCCACATTGCAGAAGGCTGGTGCCCCTGGTAAAGATGATGCATATCATGTAAACCCCATCACCAAGATCAAAGTCCGCTTCTTTCATGGAAGCCAATACATGTCAAACCTCATCCCAATCAAATTGTCTGGAAATGAATTCAAGATGAATATGTCATAGAATAATGTGACAGTGGAATTGCGGAAGGTCAAGGGTGGTTGTTTCAATGATCGAGTACTCAAATATTAATTCTAGAACGTCCAGATGAGTAGGCATTGAGGGCTAATCCTCAGGCTGCTGGTGGGATGTTGTGTCATTGATGTGTGTGCAAATGCATCAAATGCCAAGGTGTTATTCTAAGTTTCATTTGAACTCTAGAGTTGTGCCCAAACTCACATATCAGTGTAACAAAAGAGAAACAAACAAATAGGATTTATGCATTAAAAACACAAAAAGTGCTTCTTCAGCAAATCTCTATTTATAATAAGATTTCTTTTTACTCACTCGATTCTTTCAGGGTGTTTCTGTAAAGCCGCAATCGTTTCCTCATCACCAAGGAAGTCTTGTATTTCATTTTCTGAGTCTGAGCCTGCTTGAGAAGAAAAGGGCTGAGTAAAACAACACACCAAGAATCTGTGGCTTGAATGTATGAAAGAAAGATGTTAGTCTGAAAACAATTTTTTAGCCTTTCTTTGATCATTTTCAAATTGGGAAACACAAGAAAAAATTTCTGGAGACTACTCACTTTTCCTGTAAAATGGCATGGGTTGGTAATAAAAACACTGAAAAATCCTTATTTTACAGCTAGAATTTTTATCATTCATTGTTCTGTCTTATAGGTAGAAGCATTCACTCAATGTTAAAAAAAATCTATGGCTTCTAGATTTTGAAATCATGTTTCAGAAAACTCCATTATTTCCTCAAGTTAGTTATTTATATTTGGTGAGGTGTGCCAGGGAGTGCCCTCTATCCTCAAGGGGTGTGCAATTATGCTTAGTTTTCTTGTTGAACTGAAGAAATTTGCAGATTTTTAGAATCCTGTTCTGTCTGTAGTAGGGGAAAAAATCCTTAGCCTGACATGTTTCATCCCCCTACAGAACACTTGAGAGCTGTCACTGACTCGGTTTCCCAAGCTAATAGTAAATCCACTGGATTAAAAAATGTTTTTGTTGTCATTTGGTTCCAAGTTTGTCCCTTTTTTGTAGTTTCAAAATTTAGAAATCATGTATCCTTCTCAAGATTGCTTGTCAGTGACTGGAGCTCCCAGGCATTTGGTAACCATAAATCCTTGAAACCATTCTAGGGACCTCTGTGTCCACCAGGCAAGGCTGAAGGAAGTGGGACAGCCAAACAGGCAATCCACCTAACATTGACCCTGAATTTGGTGAGGAAGGACAAACAGTCATTGAAAAGGGTCTCAGGCTGGGCAAACAAGCAAGACCTCAGTCAATGGGTCTGCCTGTCTTGACACTCTAGCCCACAGGACAAGAGGCTATTTAACTTGTTGACCCACAGGCTAAATCGGAATGGGGCTGTAGTATCATACACGGTCTCTAATTTCTTATGTTCCCCTTACCTGTAACTCAGACCTAAACTACCCTAAGGTATTTATCCTTTCTTTTTCTTCCCCAGGCATGGGCCTCAGTATACTTACCTTTTCTCAGAGGAAATTGTTTTCAATTATAACAAAACAACAACAAACTCCTTCCATAAAGGTAGCAAGCTCCTTCTAACACAGACCAAGAGAGAAAGGAGGCCTAACTTTGCATTCTTACAGAAGAACAGCAGGCTGGGTGTCCTTTCTCTCAATGTCCTCATGGTGGGATGTCTGGCACCATAGTTCCTGGTTGGTTGGCAATAATAGAATTTACTTGTTTGCTTCTGAGGAAAAGGGGTGTAAGTTTCCCTAGAAACTTATGTCCACCCACAATGCTGGCACAGCCCAAGTTCCTTGAGGTCTGTGGCTGGTACCCTTACACCTTATGTGTTTGTCCGTTGTGCATTACAAATGGTTAGGCAAATGTTTCAAAGGTTGGACCAAGGCAGACAGGAGGACCTTAAATAGTTCTGCAGCAGTTCTGTGCAGGGAAATAAAGCAAACACCCTTTTCTCCAAATTTGAAACTACTAAGCTAGTGGTCTTACTGAATGAACAAAATGAGGAGAGAATTTGGGAACTGTCCATGGGCCCCTGAATCTGAGGTCCCCAAGATAAGAGGCCTGGAAAGCTCTTTGATTCCCCCAAAACTCTTGCTCCTGAGGTGTTTTCCTATACCATCTGGCTACCAGCTCAATAAGGAACACCACCAGAATGTATTCGAATCAACCTTTACCCTGCCTTGAGAGGAGAGGGGTGCCAGGGAGCCTCACTGATTGATTGCGACAAGAAGATGGGATGATTGGTACTGCAAAACACACGAGTTTATTTGAGGAATCATAGAGGCTTCCTGTTGTAAGGTAGACTTAGTCCACACAGATCTGTCTAAGGTCAGAGGTCAACTAGAGCTGGTGACTTCAGTGCCACACTGATTAACCATTAGGCGTGAATGAATACTTCCTGGAAAAGCTCGGCCCTGGCAGGCTCAGAGCTACCAAACCAAAGATGAAAGCCGCTGTTGGCCTTTTCTCGATCGATCGCAGCTCAGCTACACCCTCACCGCCCTGGCTACCTTCCACCAGCCCCGAAGCACCAGGAAATGGAGCTGAGGGACTCGGTTGTACAGACCTTCTTTCTCACTCCTGTCCTTGAGAGGGTAGGGCTCTGATTGCCGTTGCTGTAGGCCGAAGGCTGGTAACCTTCGGGTGCCCAGAGTGAAGTCTAAACTAGTGGGGTCGATAGCAGATAATTTAGCCTGGACTAGAAATCTTCAAACATAGGAAGAGAAAAGAACGGTGCCCCCAGATGCAGAGGGTGGAGGTCACTGCCAAGCCTTGACATCCAAAGGTAGTTCTGTAGACAGCGAATGCCTAGAACTCAAGCAGCCCTCTCACACCCTCTCCACTTCTCAGATTGTCCCTGTGGACCATTCATCAACTCCAAACTTTCAGACTTTGAACCAGGCAACTAACTCTTTTACACCTAAATCCGGTCCCTTCTTTCTTGCCAGTAATTTGTTACATGTCCCTGGGTCTAGGCTTCCGGCCTGCTCGCCAGACCTAACCGCAGCCCAGATTCATATCCAGAAGAAAGAAAGTCAAGTCGTGAACCCATGGCTCATGAGGCATACGGAGCAGATCCTAGAGTTAAGAGTCCTGAGGCAGGACCAAGGATGAGGGTGCCCTGGGAAGGCATCCTGTCCGACGCGGACCCAGACGGCATCCTCAGTGAGTGTCCAGAAAAGTTCTAAGATGTAGTCACCCAGCAGCACTAACTTGATTCTTTGACCCTAGCGAGAGTAAACCGAAACCCTCCCTGTCGTCCTTGCCGGAGGGAAAAGCAGAAAGGCTGCCTGCAAAGACTCCTTCACCGGTACCTTCTCGGTTCCTGCCATGATCAAGAAGGAAACTGACCAAGTTGTTTTGCCCTTCTTGTGCCCACGGTGGGCACACCCAGGCAATTTACAAAAAAAAAAAAAAAAAAAAAAAAAAAAAGAGGAGGGAAGACGGACGGGCAGCAAGCTGTTTTTGGTGCCATTGCCAGTAGGAGCCCCATCTGTCTTTCTTGCACCCGTTCTTCTCCCGGGAGGAAAGAAAGGGCTCATCCTCAATGCTGCCCCTCGGCAGAAGGGCTCCTCCCCACCCCTTTAGAATCTGTGGGGTGGGGCCTGTACCCTGGACGCTGTGTGTGTGTGTGTGTGTGTGTGTGTGTGTGTGTGTGTGTGTGTAGAAATGGAGAAAAGTCTGACTGGGCCTATTCGTCTAGTGTGGTTTGGGTGCCTATGGCCTCTATAAGGGCACTTGCTAAAAGGCCATGGGGTACAGATCTTCCCCATCTTACCCCCTGATTTCAAGCACTTACCCTGCTCCACCTGTTGCCCGGATCACCTCATTTCTGCACATCACTTTGGGGTGGATGAGGGGGACCACAAATCCCGCTATGCCTCTTTTGTGGTTCCACCGAGGCGGTCATCCTTCATTTCTCCTTCTCCAGCTTTCGGGGAAGCAGTTAGGGAATGTATGATGAAGCAGAAATGAGCCGTCAGGATGATATTTTAATGGCTTATATGTCACGTTGGTGCATGTGGCTTTGAACTGGAGCCGCTCGCGTTTCCTGCAGAGAGCGCCGCAAATCCCACTTGATAACTTCTACAACCCACAACTTTTCCCCCCCTCTCACATTTACTCTTACCTTGTATATTTGGATGGGTTTCCTAAAAATACACCCTGTCAACGTCCTCGGTGGATTTTCCACAGGCTGGAGGAGAGAAGCCTGACTTTCTTTTTTGAAGAATTATTTTCCCTCCCCTCTCCCAACAGCCACCCTTCCCTCAGGTCTCCTCCCTACATTTTTTTTAAGCAGTCAAGGTGGGTTCAATATTTGTTCTCCCTAGTAAAAGACCAGTGCAACCTCTAGGGGAAATATCTCCTTGACTACAGGATTTTCGTAATCCCAGGCTCCAACTTCTCCTTATAGGAGCAAAAAGAAATGAATGGTTCTGGTTTATCTTTTCCCCAAAACAAAATATATGGTAGGTCCACAAGCAACCTTCTGCTCCAGCTCTTCCTGTCACTCATTATAGGGGGTCACTCAGAGTAGGTGAGAAGTGCAGGGGCAGCACTGGACTCAGACTTGTTGCCAGAAGCAGAGCAGTCTATATTTTTCCCTTTTCCTAGAAATTCTATTTTCAAGCCCCACAAGCAGAGATGCTCAAACACAATCTCTACAGACACAGAGGAATTAGTCCCAGACACAATCTGACTTCAGAGCCTCTCTCTCTCTCTCTCTCTCTCTCTCTCTCTCTCTCTCTCTCTCTCTCTCTCTGTGTGTGTGTGTGTGTGTGTGTGTGTGTGTGTGTGTGTGTTTATAAAGGACAGACTACTTCCAGTTCACTGTGCCCAAACCAGAATCTGGGAAGAAAACTGAAAAAAACACCAAAAAGGAGGCTAGAAGTAGCCAGCGCGCTGACCTTTCTTCCTTCAGTCCTAGGAAGCTAGCTGGGAAAGGAGCGAGAAAGAGAAGAGAGAGGAGAGGGGGGAACCATTTCATTTTCCTTATGCTTGGCGAACTGGTAAGTTTTCTAACCGGACATCACGTGAAAGGATGAGTTGAAAGTCTCTTTGTCTGGAAAAGAGTTTAGAGCCTTGATTCAGCTGCAAAGAAGCCAAATGAAGTTAGAAACAAAGGGCAAATTGAAGGATTCCGACTCTTGGCTTTTTGTGTTTTCCTTACTAGAAAATAATTAGACCTAATGAATATGCAGGCGCTAAGGCTAAATCCTGGGCCAAGCTGATGGGCTTAAAACTGAGCTAAGGAGAAACGCAACCTCCATCGCCCCCGGCTCCACATTCGCGTGCATTTTTTGAAATGTATAAATGTCGCTCGGTTTAATTGATTGAGTTACAGGGATTTTCCCCTGCTTTTACGTGCCATACTCCTCTACCTTTCAACAATCATTTTAATATATAGTCAATGGTTCTTTGTGGATGGGACAAAAAGCAACTACGCGCAGTTGTTGAATAGACTTTGCGCTGGGCAAAGACAGGTTAATCGAGGGCCGCATCGCGAAAACAAGCGAGTGTTGTATGTTTGCACGGAATCCAAATGTCTGCATTTTCCTAACTAAATCAAAGGGAGTGTTATTTCTTTTTCTGCTCACTCATCTGAAGGTAAGTAAATTTTCTCTGGCGATCAAAAGCCTGGTCGGCAACAAAGACCGCGCCCGCTTTTTCCACCGTCTTGTTGTGGCAAGTTGCGGAATTTCAATAACTGTGACAAGGGTGACTGATTTGTGAACTGGAAAAGGTTTGAATGTCACAAAATTTACATTGGTCCTATCTACCGGGGATTTAAATACCAAAAAAAAAAAAAAAAGTATTCCAGGATCTCTAGGGAGCTTTGGGAGATCCAGAGGAACAATGGCGCGTTGGGAAATTTACAGTTTTACCTGAATGAAAGGAGCCGGGGATGGGAATTGGAGGGCAGAGTGAGCGGGTTGGGGGTAGGGGCAAGCAGACAACGGACTGGACCAGAGAAAAGAGAAAAATAAGGGGAGAGGGAAATCGGCAACAGCGTTTTCAAACTGCCATTAAAAAAAAACAACCAACCAAACAAAAACAAACAAACAAAACCCAACCCAACAAACCTCAGAAACCGGAAAAAGTTTAAGAGCTCCATCCACCTGTGTTTGGGGGTGAGTGGGCAGGCAGGCAGGAAGCCTGGAAAACCGAGGCTTCGGGAGACACCGAGAAATCACGTTTCTGGGAAAGAGAGTGGCGCGCCCTCGCGCTCCCGAATCTTAAATTATAAACAGGAGAGAGGCCCGGCAAAAAGGAAGCAAACTTCAAAAGGAGCAAATAACAAAAGCCTCCTTTGCTGCCCTCCCTTGAAGGGGGGAGAAAGGGGGGAGGGAGAAAAGAAAGTTGCTGAATCGGGACATTCTGGAAGTGCCTTTGGGGTGTTTATCAGCTGGTCCCCAACTGCTGCTCTACGAGACGCCGGGGTCTATAGTCTATAATCGCTCAGTGGAGGTTTGAAGGAGAGTGGCAGAGGGAAGGGGAGTGGAAGGCGGAGGGGGGAGACAGAGGGAGGGGAGAAAGAAATTAGAAAGAGGGAGAGAAGAGGGGACTTAGAAGAGGAGGGAAACCAAGAGAGGGAGGGGTAGGAGGACGCAGAGAGAGAGAGAGAGAGAGAGAGAGAGAGAGAGAGAGAGACAGAGACAGAGACAGAGAGAGACAGAGAGAGACAGAGAGAGACAGAGAGAGACAGAGAGAGACAGAGAGACAGAGAGAGACAGAGAGAGACAGAGACAGGGACGACAGAGAGAGACAGAGAGAGTAGGGGAGAGAGAGAAGGGAGGGGAGAGAAAGAGGAGGGAGGGGAGAGAAAGAGGAGGGGAAGAGAGAGAGAGAGAGAGAGAGAGAGAGAGAGAGAGAGAGAGAGAGAGAGAGAGAGAGAGAGAGAGAGAGAGAGAGAGAGACTATGAGAGGGAAAAGGAATCGTGGATTTTTTTTCGTGAGAAGAGGGGGAAAAATTGCCAGGCCCCAAAAAAAAAAAAAAGTTGCTACTCCTGGCAGCCCTGTTAGTCAAAAGGGGATGTCAAGCGCTTTACAATACCTGGGATTGATGAGGCGGGCGGGCCAATGAGCAGCGCGCGGCGCCACCGCGCGCCCTTCGTTGGCGCGGCGGCCGCGGGGGTGTGTGTGGGGGGATTGCCGCCTCACCAATCGTCGCCCGAGTCGGTCGCACGTGACGCCTCCCCCTGCTCCCATTCATCAAGGGGGGGACGACGGTGTCGTCCTTTCAATTCATTTATCTGCAGGAATGATTGCTGCTATCAGTCTCGCGCTCACCGCCCGGCTGAGGAGGTGAAAGTTTCTCCCCAGGAAGATAAACCGCAAAAGACAATATTGTGCATGATTTGCGCCTTTTCTTTGCCTTTTCTCCCCCCCTTTTTTTCAAAAAGCAGAGAGGGGGGAAAAAGGGAGAGTGAAGGAGCGAGGAGGAGAGCCTGAGAGAAAGGAGAGAGAGAGAGAGAGAGAGAGAGAGAGAGAGAGAGAGAGAGAGAGAGAGAGAGAGAGAGAGAGAGAGAGAGAGAGAGAGAGAGAGAGAGAGAGAGAGAGACTGACTAGTGGAGAAGTGAGGAGGGGCGCGCCGAGCGAGAAGGAGACAGGGCGAGCAGTGGCGGCTCTCGCGCTCACATTCCTCTATGCCACAAATCCGGGAAGAAGTTTTATTGGGGGGCTGAGATGTTCTATGCCTTTCCCCGGGCAGCCTTGACTCGAGGCCCTCTCGGCAGAGACTGAGCGGCGAGAAAGTGCGAGCCCGGCCGGCGCGGTTGGAGCGGCAGGCGCTGGAGCCCGCCTTCTACCGGCCGGCAGTCATCCGACTTGCCTGCCTTTGGCCGGGCGGGCGCCGGCTTGCGCCTGGCCGCTGCCTGCTGGCTAAGACTTCGTTAGGTGGGTCGACTCCCCCTCCCTCCTCCTCTTCTTCTTCCTCTTCCTCCGCCTCCCGTTCCTCCTCCTCCTGATCTTCCCTCCTTGGCGGGCGAGGGTGGGGGGGCCGGGGAGGCCGGGGCTTGCCCCGTGCAGCCACGATGCTCCTGGACGCCGGCCCCCAGTATCCCGCGATCGGTGTGACCACCTTTGGCGCATCCCGGCACCACTCGGCGGGCGACGTGGCCGAGCGAGACGTGGGCCTGGGTATCAACCCGTTCGCCGACGGCATGGGCGCCTTCAAGCTCAACCCCAGTTCGCACGAACTGGCCTCGGCGGGACAGACAGCCTTCACGTCGCAGGCGCCCGGCTACGCCGCCGCTGCGGCCCTGGGCCACCATCATCACCCGGGCCACGTCGGCTCCTACTCCAGCGCAGCTTTCAATTCTACGCGGGACTTTCTGTTCCGAAACCGGGGCTTCGGAGACGCGGCGGCGGCAGCTAGCGCCCAGCACAGCCTCTTCGCCGCTTCGGCCGGCGGCTTCGGGGGCCCACACGGTCATACGGACGCCGCGGGCCACCTCCTTTTCTCCGGGCTTCACGAGCAGGCGGCGGGCCACGCGTCGCCCAACGTGGTCAACGGGCAGATGCGGCTAGGCTTCTCCGGGGACATGTACCCGCGGCCGGAGCAGTACGGCCAGGTGACCAGCCCGCGATCCGAGCACTATGCCGCGCCGCAGCTTCACGGCTATGGGCCCATGAACGTGAACATGGCTGCACATCACGGCGCTGGCGCCTTCTTCCGCTATATGCGCCAACCCATCAAGCAAGAGCTTATCTGTAAATGGATCGAGCCGGAGCAGCTGGCCAACCCCAAAAAGTCGTGCAACAAAACTTTCAGCACCATGCACGAGCTGGTCACGCACGTCACGGTGGAGCACGTTGGTGGTCCAGAGCAGAGCAACCACATCTGCTTCTGGGAGGAGTGTCCACGCGAGGGCAAGCCCTTCAAAGCCAAATACAAACTGGTCAACCACATCCGCGTGCACACGGGCGAGAAGCCTTTTCCCTGCCCGTTCCCTGGCTGCGGCAAGGTTTTCGCGCGTTCAGAGAACCTCAAGATCCACAAAAGGACGCACACAGGTATGGAATTTATGTAGGATACTCCACCTCCCACCTTGGCCGAGATTCGAAAGTTAGGGGCTGAGAGACACAGACCCAGCCTCACTGGGGTCTGGACCTCAAGTTCCAGGAGACAGGCAGATCTGACTTTTAGCTCAGGTCTCGAAAATATGGGCTAACAGAGAGTGGACGAGAAGGATCTGAGCATACAGGTTTTAAAAACAAGGAATAGAAAGAATTGGAAGCCGGGAAGCCGAGTCTGGTTTGGCCCAGCGTTTGACAAGCTCTAATCCCAGAGAGGTGGCGCGTTTAGGGTATCCTGGAGGCGCCAGTTGTTTCAGCTACAAGCAAATCTAAACTCTTGCTGGTGGCTACCCTCTGTGGGACCTTGTTGAGTCCTTTCTTTCCACTGGAAAAGGTGGAGAAAGTTGAGGTTGAGTTAAACCACGTAGAAACAGAAAGAAACGGGCGGTGGGTGTAGTTTGGTTAAGGGATATAATCTGGATCTGAGGACATCAGGTTTATGTATATTTGAAGACATAAATTTTATTTATTGGGATTGAGTCGGTGGAAGGTGCAGATATCCTAATTGTCCTTTACAACTGAATAGAGACTGTTCTTAAAATGCGGGGTTCTCGAGATGGCCTTTAAAAATACTGGCAAGTCGAAAGCTTTAAAAAGAAACAAAACAGCAGCAACAATAAGAAAACAAGTTCCAGGCAACTCAGGGCTTGGGGCGAGAGATGGGGGTGGAGGCAGGCTGGAAATCATGGGTCGTTTGGGCCCTTCAAGTGTCAGGGATCAGA